AAGACAATGTTGATACTGATCTGAGCTCCTCACAGTTCACGCCACACGTAGTTTGGTTTTACATATGTTTCAGTTAGTTGTATAGTTACTATGCTGAGGGCTGGCTGGTCGAGTCTAGCAGTTAAGAGATGACCCCGGGGTTGACCCTGACCAGAAATCCCAAAAGCAACTATTGCATATTCCGATATCAGAAATATCCCTGAGACATAATCAGGGGATGGTCACCCAAAGTCAGGGTTATCCACCACGGATAGAACAGGGCCAACCACAATCAGGTCCACCAGAACTGTATTGTCTGGACACAAGGGATAGCCCCAGGACTTAGAGTCTAGATTAGATAGCAATCGGAAAGGAGGTTCCAACTAGTTAAATAACAAACACAAAAAAAAAAAAAAAATTAGTTTTTTTTGTGTATATAGTTAACTAAGCATTCACCACGCTTTGATAAAGATGTTACATAACACCAACACGAAATAAATACTCCTGAGCAGCCGATACACTCATCTCAAACCGGAATCGGCCGGATGACCGACTCCCCTAGATCTGCTCCCCCTTAGCTACATAACTTTTACGCCCGTGGATATGGGTCATCTGACCCTCTCTCCTAAAGTTAGACTAAGTGAATAGGATCAATAAGCCCCGGGTCCTAGGTAAACACCCGAAGCACACAACCCCATTCTACGTACGGAACTGTCTCCAGAGACGAGACAGGACTATATTCCCCCTTAAGGGAAACTTCTCGCACGCACCCCTGGGTGCGAACTTCTACACTTCACCCACAATATTATAGAACAGTAAGGGGACTACTCCCCAAGATAGATAACACACGAACCACATAGGCACATACCTGGTAATAATTTAAACCTCCTCAGTGATTGTCTAAGACTAAATAATACTACTGATATAGCAAGTTCGGAGACTACTCTCGTTGTAATGTTACGCATACCTTGTTTTTGACACTGTTATGTACCTGTATTTTGACTTATATGTTGAATTGTATATGCATTAAGGATCAACCACACGGCAGCAATGTCCACCATAATAGTAGTCTCACAAAATGCTAAAGGGTTAAATATCCCAGAGAAAAGGTCGATAGCCCTAACAGACTTCCAAAGACATAAGGCGAACTTTTTTTTTGTACAGGAAACACACTTCCGTAAGGACGCTCCTCCTAGGCTTCAAAACAGGGATTACCCGAGAGGTTACTTCAGCCACTACACAGAAGCTAAGGCAAGGGGGGTAGCCATACTAGTAAGCCGACAGACCCAATTCACACATCAGGACCACCAGTTAGACGATGCGGGCAGGTTTATCTTCGTGAAGGGGAAAGTGGGGAACACTCAAATCACTCTGGCGAATATCTATTTGCCAAACAAGAAACAATCCCACTCCCTTAACAAAATACTGCGCAAATTAAATGATTTCTACGAGGGGATCCTCATAATAGGTGGAGACATCAACATCTCGTTAGATGTAGACCTAGACACCACTTCTACCTCACAGAGTTACCTAACACAGTGGAGAATACAAATGAAAAACACATTGTACAATGCCCAACTATATGACAGCTGGAGAGCGGTCAACCCCACGAAAAAAGACTATTCATTCTACTCCTCACCTACAGGTACCTACTCACGTATAGACACAATCTTCCTGCATCACAGACACTTACCCCTGGTCAACACGGCCTCCTACGGTCCAATCACGTGGTCAGACCACGCGCCACTCACACTCAGCATGACCATACCCTCCGTTCCTAATCCCACCGCTCAATGGAAACTCAATGACCTGTTACTAAATAATAGGGAGGCTATCAACCAAATTAAAGACACTGCCACAAATTATTTTAAAGAAAATTCCACCACGGACACGACTCCAATTATGACTTGGGAAGCCCATAAGGCAGTCCTTAGAGGTGAATTGATTCGGATAGCATCGACACTTAAACGTAAGAGGGAACACACAATCATCCAACTCACCAAAGACATAAAAGCTATGGAAACGACCCACCAGGGTGTTTCCTCCCTAGAAAATTACAATCTCCTACTCACTAAAAGGTCAGAACTCACGGAGCTTCTGACACTACATGCCAAACGGAAACTCTTGCTTACAAAAGGCTCCTATTACGCGCAGGGAGGTAAAGCGGGGAAACTCCTCGCGCAAACACTACAGGCAGACAGACAATCCAGCTTCATCTCCGAAATTAAAACCGAGGACGGTAATACCACATGTCACATGCCAGACATACTTAAAGCATTCCATAAATTTTATACTCATCTATATAACCTGAAATCCACCCAACCAACCACACAAGACATAGTAGACTTCTTGACGCCCAGAATAAAACACACTCTGCCACCTATAGACAGGGCCTTCCTTGATGAACCCATAACAATTGAAGAATTCCAACAGGTAGTCAAGACCATCCCGGTAGGTAAAAGCCCAGGCCCGGATGGATTCACTGGGAAATACTACAAATTACTAGCCCACACCCTGGCACAGCCCTTTGTGAATGCATTTAATGCCCATAAACTATCAACAAGTATACCAAAGTCAGCACTAGAGGCAACCATCACTCTAATACCTAAACCGGGGAAAGACCCCACGTCCTGTGGCAGTTACAGACCCATCTCGTTAATAAATGCAGATCTCAAAATCCTCACAAAAATCATGGCTACAAGGCTGAAACCATTCCTGCCTGTCCTCATTCACCAAGACCAGGCGGGTTTTGTCCCGTGCAGGGAAGCAAAACACAACACAACAAAAATCATTAATCTGGTACACTGGGCTCAAACACGCAAGATTGACAGCATCCTATTGGCTATCGATGCGGAGAAAGCATTTGATAGAGTTAGCTGGGCACTCTTACAACAAACAATGCGGCAATTAGGCTTTGGCCCTCGTTGGCAAGAGTGGTTGGACGCAATCTATTCCTCGCCAACTGCTAGACTGAGGGTCAATGGTCAGTTATCACATCCAGTAACCATCACTAATGGGACGAGACAGGGCTGTCCTCTTTCTCCTATTCTTTTCATACTAGTCTTAGAACCATTCCTCCAGGGTATAAGAGACAACAACAACATACAGGGCTTTCTAGTGGACAAGCAAGAGTACAAAGTCACGGCGTTCGCCGATGACCTTTTGTTCACAATTGCGAACCCGCTCTTGACTTTGCCCTATGTAATAGCAGAGATGGAAACATATGGGAAAGTCTCCAACTTCCAGGCGAACCTAACTAAATGCGATCTTCTACCAATCCACTCCGCAAAACCCACAGACTCAATATTACAATCTAAATTCAATTTCAATTGGGCACCGCGGTCAATTAAGTACCTAGGGGTTCACATCCCAAACAGGTTAGGGACGATTTTTACACTAAACTTTCCCCCTCTCGTGGCAGACATTACCAAGGATCTCCAGACATGGCATAAGCCCTGCTTCGGCTGGTTAAGTAGGAACAATATACTTAAAATGAACATCCTACCTCGTATTCTCTATATCCTACAGACTCTTCCTATCGCTATCCCTCGCACTTTCTTCATCACGAGATATCTATGGGCACACTTATCACCACGCTTGACCTACACCACCCTGACTAGAACTAAGGAAAGAGGAGGAGTAAATCTCCCCGATATTGAACTCTACCATCAGGCAATACACCTGCAGAGGGTTTATGAATGGACAAGACATGGGCACACCCACCATTGGGCTATGCTGGAGACCGCATTCTCTAGAACCCCTTTATCCAGCCGAGTCTGGATGAACCCCGACGCCGTTCCTTCACGAAAGGAACCCCATCACGGACACCCAACAATCGGCCCAACCCTTAAAATATGGCATAGGCTTAGACAAACTCTGGCTTTCTCTCCAATCCCATCCCCGCTATATCCAATTACACATAATCCCCACTTCCAACAGGGGAGCTCGGGCAAATCGTTCGAGCTCTTTCACAAAAGCTCGGTACTAACATTGAGTGAAGTTGTCCAAGATGGTAAGGTCAAAACCCTGCCCCACATCCTGCAGACTGACGCCCCAACGGTATTACAACAACTACATTACCACCAACTGGCACACTTTATCAGGACGCACAACCTAGTACCCGGAGGGGACAGGCCCGTTACACAATTCGAACAGCTATGCTCCTCCCACCCGTTATCTAAGAAAATTTTATCTACCATGTACACTCTACTTAGGGATTCACAAGCGCCTAACCTCCCAAACTATACAGCTAAGTGGTCAGAGGAACTCGGAGTAGAGTTCACATGCCCACAGTGGCAATCCATCCTTAAAGCGGCACATAAGACCACCATATCGCTGACAGCGCAAGAGAGTAATTTTAAACGCATAACACGCTGGCACTACACACCAGCGAGAATCCACACGATCCACGGCACGTCCACAGATAAGTGCTGGAGATGCGAGCAACCAGGAGCACACCATGCCCACGTATGGTGGCAATGCCCGCGAATAGCGAAATTCTGGAACAGAATTCACACTGTCATTCTTAGCATTTTCCAAGCCAACTTTCCCTTAGCGCCAGAACAATACATCTTTCTCCTACCCCCCCACGGCTTATCAAAACTGCAAACAGCACTTTTCCATCACCTGGCCATGGCCGCGGCGCAACTGGTTCCTAAATATTGGAAGCAGCACACCATCCCCTCGCTCAGGGAGTGGATTCAGAGGGTGGAGGACACGAAACAAGTAGAAGGCATAGCGCAAGCTAAAATAGGGAACTATGGGAAATACACCAAAACTTGGGCACCGTGGACTGCGTTCACGACACTAGAGCCACGCTAGATAATACAAATTGACCGCCCCACGACAAGGAATAGGGGACAGGGGGGAAGGGGCACCGGGGGAGGCTGCGGGCGTCCGGGGGCGCAGTGGAGACCGAGAACTGACCTGGACGAATTTAGATGAATACTCAACAGTGACGATGGGGAGGGCCTAGAGCTCATTGTTACAAAATTATGGCGTTACCGGTTTGAAGCAAGACAGGGGATGTGAGGGAAATCGAAGCCTTCTCAAGGTTACACTAATAAAACTAAACGCCCTGTGGAAAAGAGCAATACCTCACTGTTACTACCTAAGACCGTACTGACGACCACTGGGCTCTGACACTTACGCTGTAACGTCCTGTGTCTCACTATGTGACTAAATTGTATCGTTGAGCACTATTTACTACCAAAGTTGAACTACTACTGTAGCCTCTACTTTAAATACTATACCACGTTATGCTTACATTTTATACGATAACATTGTAACCCTGTCAACTCTACTTGATATAGATGTACTGTTAAACTTTATGTCGGATTCAATGTATGCTTCACATATGCTTCAAAAAAATAAAAAAAAAAATAAAAAAAAAAAAAAAAAAAAAAAAAAAAAAAAAAAAAAAAAAAAAAAAAAAAAAAAGCAGCAAGACACCAAAAACAAATAAATTGCCTTTGGGATCCCTTGTAGATATTTTTATTTATGATTCTCATAGATGTGTGTAATAGAGCACTTTCTTCAGCTAAAAATAAAAAACGTACGATCAGAAAAATAGCAGAGAGGCAGTCAGAGACACTAGTCAAGAGGGACGGGGAGAGATTAGGAGAGGACAGGTAGATTTGCGTGTCATCGGCATAGAAATTATATTGGAAGCCAAAGGAGCTAATGAGTTTACCAAAGGAGGAAGTATAGATAGAGAACAGTAGATGACCAAGGACTGAACCTTGGGGGACACCAACAGAGAGGCGTTGGGGAGAAGAAGAAGAGCCAGAGAAAGAAACACTGAAAGAGCGCTGGGAGAGGTAGGAGGAGCACCAGGAGTGAGCAATATCTTGTAGACCGATATTGCGGAGGGTGAGAAGAATCTGTTGATGATCAACAGTGTCAAAAGCCGCAGACAGGTCAAGGATATCTACGATAGAGTAGTGACCACGAGATTTTGCAGCGAGTAGATCATTGGATACTTTGGTCAGTACCGTTTCCACAGAGTGCTTAGCGCGGAAACCAGACTAAAGTGGGTCTAGCAGCGAATTGGACCCGAGGAAGTCTGTCAATCTCGCATACACAACTCTTTCAAGGATCTTGGATGCAAAAGGCAGTAGCGAGATAGGATGGTAGTTGGATGGGGTGTTCGGGTCAAGATTGGGCTTCTTTAGAATTGGGGTTACAGTTGCATGTTTGAAGGGATGATGGAAATATACCAGAGGAGAGAGAGAGGTTGAGAATTTTAGTGAGAGGTGGAGAAAGAGAAGATCGAGTACGGATTAGATGCAAGGGAATTGGGTCTAGGGATCAGGTGGTAGGGCGGGAGGACTGGAGCAGAGCAGAAACCTCTTCCACTGTAGTGGGTGCGAATGAACATAGAACAGAAGAGGGAATGAGGTTAGGCGAAGTATTGTAAAGGGAAGAAGAAAGATGAGAGATCTTGACAGTGAAGTGAGTTGCAAAGTCTGAGATGGTCAATTTAGCATGTTGAGGAGGAACAATAGGGCGAAGAAGAGAGTTAAATGTGTGAAATAGTCGTTTGGGAGAGTGTGGTTATGAGGGTATTGAAGTAATTTACTTTTTCAGAGGAAAGAGCCAGGCTATATGAGCTCAGAATAAATTTATAGTGGAGAAAGTCAGACGCACAGTGAGACTGACTTTCTCCAACAGCGTTCAGCAGGTCTGGAGCATTTCTGGAGGTATCGAGTCAGCTTGGTGTGCCAAGGTTGTTGTTGGGGGCGCCTGCTGCATTTAAATGTAGGAGGTGTCATGATGTCTAGTTGAGAGGAGAGGGTGGAATTGTAGAAGGAGGTTGCAGAGCTAGAACAGGTGAGGTTTGAGAAAGGTAAAAAAAGAGTTTGGAGATTAGTGAAGAAATGCTCTAAGTCAAGATATTGGAGGTTGGGTCTTAGGTATGCCGATGTCAAAAGTCAGCAGATGTTGGTCAGAGGAAAAGGAATATTGGAAAGATTAGAGGCGGTACAGAGATTGGTGATGGCGAGGTCAAGAATGTTTCCCGCTGTATGGGAAGAAAAGTGCTCAATGAATAGTCTAGGATAACCAGGGGGCCATAGATGATAGCAATTCTTAAAGGAGTGGGTTTCAATAGGTGGACGTTGTGAACTTTAAAAGAAGAAAGGGATAGGGCAGAGGGAGTTATGATTGGTGGAAAGGTACATTGAGGGGAGAGAAAGATGCCTATACCACCTCATTTACAGTTGAGTCTGGGTGTGTGAGAGAATTGTAACCCACCGAAACATAAAGAGGTAGGAGTAGTGCTATCAGAGGGGGACAGCCAGGTCTCTGTAAGCGCAAGTAGTGTGAGTGAGTTTGAGATGAAACTGTTGTTTATGGCTGTTGATTTTAAATTACTGCAGATGGAGCGGGCATTCCAGAGGGCACACTGAATTTTGGTAAGTGAGGGTAAAGGGCAGGGTATGCTGATGAGGTTTCTGGGGTTTCTGTTTTTTTTAATGTGTAGAGAAGGTGAAGAGCCCTGGATTGGGAGAGACATCACCAGGTGCTAGAAGCAGAAGGAGAGAAAGTGACAGCAGTTGTAAATGGGTTTTGTATGCATGGGGTCTAGGATGAGATCGATTGTGGGTAGGACTAAGAGAGTAGAAAAATTAGTGCAAGGCATGAGATGAGAGAAGGGGCATATGTAAATGTGGATGGGGGGATGAGTGAAGTGGGTGTAAGGAGAGATTTTAATACCCATAACCCTGAGTTTCATTGTTCTTGACACGCTTTAACTTTATCATCCCGTACAGACCAGGTCCTAAGATCGTTAAGGCTGACGCCCTATCTAGACATTTGACATTTGAGTCAGAACAAGAACAAGAGATCTCCCCTATCATTCCACCTGAGTGTATCAATTCCTCTACTGTCCTTTCCTTGTCTTCTCCTCTTCTTTATGCTATCATGGAGGCTCAGTCTCAGGCACCTAATGATAAACCTCAAGATAGATTGTTTATTCCGTTGCTAGAAAGAGAGGAGGTACTAAGAGTATTCCACAATAATGTGATAGCTGGACATCCGGGTATTAATAAAACTGTATCCACTGTCTCCAGATCATTTTGGTGGCCTTCTCTTAGAAAAGACATCAGATCCAATCGGATCTGCAAAAGGGTTATTTAAACTCACTTATTCCTTAGCGCATTGCCCTGTCATGGTTTCCCTTAGATTGTTATCCGAGAGTGTATTCTTGATCGTGTTTTTTCAGATTTTTGACTTTGGCTTTGTTTTGTCTTCCCTGATTTCTGGTACCCTTGACTTTTGGCTTTTCCTTATTGCTGTGTCTCATTTTGTGTCCCTGACTATTCTCGTGTTTTCTGACTATTCTCGGGTAGGTTAAATCTGGCCATTCTAAGGCCCAGTAAGTGTGATACTATTCTGCGTGCTGGATCAATATAGTCCTGACAGTATCTTCCAAATTATTTAATTTAGCCTTATCCTCTTCCAATACATGCTGGAGAGGGTGCGAACAAGTAGGCACACTATTACACATATTTTGGACATGTCCTAAATTAAAAACATTTTTGGCCAATATACACAGCCATGGCTCCAGGTGGCACTCTAAAAGGGGTGGCATTTTTCCGCCCCTGTCATTATCAAAAAGAATAATAACCATTTGGGGAAAGCCTTCGCTTTCCCCGATCAGCCGCTCCCCAGGGCAGGAAGTGAGGCTGCCCCAAATTCTAATATGTCAGGGGGGTTGTGAGGAGGGTGGAGCATTTACAATGCTTTCCTATGGATGCTGGCGTGCTCTCACTGTGAAAATCACAGTGAGAAGCACGCAAGCGCCTCTAGTGGCTGTCAATGAGACAGCCACTAGAGGGAATAGGGGGAAGGCTTAACCCATTGATAAACATAGCAGTTTCTCTGAAACTGCTATGTTTATTAAAAAATGGGTTAACCCTAGAAGGACCAGGCACCCAGACCACTTCATTAAGCTGAAGTGGTCTGGGTGCCTAGAGTGGTCCTTTAATTTGAATTCCGCAAGGAATTCCTGGTAATTATGGGCAACAGTCTTATTACTCTCTCATAATGGATTGGCCCATGCTAAGGCTTTACCTTGTAGCTGGTTCATTAAGTACCAATTTTAGCTCCATCCGTAGGGAAAGACCGAGGTGAGGCTTCAAAATGGTACTCAATTTGATTAAGGAATCCCTGACATCCATGAGTTTTACCTTTAAAATTTTGGGGTGAATATAGGATGATAGTAGGTGCTCTATGTACAATAGGTGAAGGTACAGTAGGTGGGGGTGTACCTGCCGAGGGACATCAGGCTGCAAATGAGCCGTACGTATTAGTAGCGTATTGAAAGCTTGGGCAAATTGATCCATACAGTGATCATTCTCCTCTAGCTTTCTCTCACAAGCTACACATATCTGTAGGATCTATGTCGAAATGTCAGGATTATATTGATCCAGCACGCAGAATAGTATCACACCCTAAAACTAAGGGTAAAGTCTTACCAGGCATTAGAATGGCCGGACTTAACCCGAATATAATATATAATAGAAAACAGGCATTAGAATGGCCGGACTTAACCCGAATATAATATATAATAGAAAACTAGCCGAAATCAGGGACACAGAACGAGACACAGCGATAAGGAAAAGCCAAAAGTCAAGGGTATCAGAAATTAGGAAAGTCAAAATTAAGCCAAAGTCGAAAACCAGAAAAACACGATCAAGAACACACTCTCGGTTAACAATCTAAGGGAAACCACGACAGGGCAATGAGCTAAGGAATAAGTCAGTTTAAATAACCCTCTTGCAGATCTGACTGGCTGTACCTAGCCCTTGACCCCAAAACATGTGTGTGCATGTTTTGCGTGACGTCACCCTCACGTCGACATTGTCTTTACCGTGGACGGACGTGGGGCTATATAATTGCGTGGGTCCGCAGCGGCCGGCATGCACCGACATGCCACACAAATCAGGCATCATGGCAGAAGACCGCCGAGCGGCACTGCCCTCGATATTCGGAAGGTAATTATCTCCGTTTTTGCCACATGGATACAAAGGATACGTGACAGATACCATCTATATATGAGTTTGTAATGGGATTCTAAAAGTGCCACAGACTATGTTATGCTCCGTAGCGCCAATAGAAGCCCGTGCCACTCTTCAATAGTAAATTTTATATTTAATTCTCTTTCCCACTTTGTCATACAGTCCAATTTTGGACCCAGTTCCCCAGTAAAATAAGCATAGCAAATTGAAATGGTTTGTCTACGGTTAGAATCCGAGAGATATATATTTTCTAGATTAAACATGCTTACTTTACGTTCTCCAAGATCCCGATCTGAGACTTTAAAGTGTTCACTAAGCAAATTTACCATTTGTCTATGCATAGGGGCAACAGAGGCATCCAGGCTAAATTTGGCCTGTAACTGGTCAAAAGATAAAAAGGAATTGGACAAAAATAAATCATTAATATGTACAACAGAGTGGGAAAGCCAATATTCTACATCTAAGTCCGGTAATGCAGGTCGCAACACCGATAAGGGGGTAGCTCTGGACCAAGTAGTGAAAGGGTTAATCTTGGTGTATAACACTCTCCAAGCCTTAATAGTGGCTTTGGTGGTTGGATACATGTTCGCCATCAATGACCGAAAAGCAGGGGGCAAGTTTAACACTTTTTTAATGGAGTAAGGTAAAATCTTTTCAGCCTCCATCTCCAGCCACATTGGGTCCGTAGTACTTCAGCCGCAATCCCATCATATTGTCAAACTCTCTCATAGAGTAGCTGTACGCCACTGCTGGTTCCATCCTGGTGCTGTCAGGGCCGCTGTACTTGGACATGCGGTGCCCTCAAATTGTAAAATCCATGGAATGGTGTCTCCTGTAGCTGTCCTTCTGGCTGTGGGAACAATCCCGCCGCTTGCCACCAATTGTAACGGCACTCCCAGCATAAAAGGGTTAAGCCGCCATTTAGTAGATCTTCCCTTCCACAGGCACAGCTACTGCAGAACACCAAACTCCCGAACTGGATACTAGGGAATGCTCCAAACTCCCGAACTGCTTACAAAAGAGCACTCCAAACTCCCGAACTGGAACCTCACGAATAGCTGCTAGAAGACGAACAGGAAAAGCACCCAAGCGGCTTACACTCCTGGCAATCAGTCTCTAACAGCATAAAGTAAATCCCCCCAAAGACGAGACAGAGCTCCGTGTTGAGGGTCAAGCAGTGAAAATGACCAATCACAGGCATACAGGGTTAAAACACTCCCACAGTACATTACAATCCCTCCCCTCTATCCTGGAGATAATTGGGAAGTAATCCAATTATCTCCAAGGACAGAGGCAAAACTCCATTGAGCACATGTTAGGAAAAAGACACAAAAATACACATGTTGCAAATAATGAATAAAACATATACATTCTAACTATCCCCAGATAGCTTAGATCTGAGCGCACATTATTACCGAATGGCGCTCAGATCACATACATACAGTTCAATCGCCATGAAGCCAAAGTCTTTCCCATAGTCTTTCGTTATACAAATAGGCTCCATGGCATGGCTATCTGGGGTGATGCTGTTCATATGGTTAAATTACTAAATGAACAGGCATTCGGTTGAATGACCAAATGCAGAAGCAAGGAGGCTGACGGCTCAGCGGTGTTCGCACAAATAAGTGTCCGTTTCCAGTTCCATAGTTTGGGCGCTGAACACCGCTGGCCGTTCGGGACTTTAAAATGTCCACCGCCACGTATTCAGCAAATGAACAAAGGCCACCCAGCATTCGTCAATTAAGCTGCGGTTAACCGCAGCTTCTGGGAGGTCAATTGATGGCACACTCCAGCTCCCAGGTGGTCCAGTCATTTGTGCATTTGTTTGGTACATTGAATTTACCAAACACCCTGGTAGAAAGGTACGAACAAGCCTTTCTGCGGGGCGAGATTGGTCTCATCACATTCCCTAAGGACGGGCCAGATTTTAGTCAAGTTATAAGTACTACTACACCCCTACTGACATTCCAGGGGTGGTACAGTAGGGGACTACATGGAGAACTGACCAACACATACATTTCTCCCATCATGCACTGCTGGACGAGATGGATACTCCCACTGGAATATACCGTTAATGGGATTATCCCTCCGTGCAGCAGAACTCACATTTTACATTAAAATCTATAACTTTAATAATATTCACTGGATTTATACGAACAGACGTTCGGCAGATAGCTGGGGGCTGAGCGCATAGTTCGTGAGAATACCGCTCAGCTCCCAGTCTAACTAACCGAATGCCGCACGAAATACACATTATTTTTAACATGTACTTAAAACACCGATTAATATCAGGGGAACAAACTACCAAACGGCCGGGGCTCCAGAACGGCCTGGAAGTCCAGCGGTGTTCGCACCGTCGAGTAGCCGTTTTTAGTTCCAGGCACTCGACGGCAAAACCCCGCTGGGCTAACAAAGGAACCAAGATGGCCGACCACCGCGTGGTCGATAGCCGAATGACGGCCACCTGGGGAAGTCTTTAACTACCGATTGCAACAATGTTGCAATCGGTTAATGGGCGCCACACAACCTCCTGTGTGTGGTCGACCATTCGGTAGTTCATTCATTTCACGAACAGTGTTTAAACTCACTGTTCGTGAACCTGCATAGGCAATGATGGGTTTTACGCATTACAAGCATTCAAATGCTCTCGTTCGCGTGAACGCCACATACCACAATACACTTGGTTCTTACAGCAAACAAAACCCATGATATCCACACATGTAATACAGGCATAGTCTTAAGTGGCTAGGTTTGCCACAATGCTCCCCCAGAACCAAGCCAGCATACACAGCCTGATCCTAACGGATCGGCTTGGGGATGACCGGAGGAGCACTCACGGATCAAGGTTCCAAGTCTGTTTGTCGGGACAACCCATCGGCGTTGCCATTTTGCTTCCCAGGGCGATAGTGGATTGTAAAGTCAAAAGGCTGCAGCACCAAATTCCAGCGCAGCAGCCTGGCATTGTCTCCTGACACCCTGTTCAGCCACACCAACGGGTTGTGATCCGTGAGTAATGTAAATGGTTGTCCGTATAAATAAGGCTGCAGTTTTTTGAGGGCCCACACCACAGCCAGGCACTCCTTTTTGAAGGCGGCGTAGCTGACTTCCCTGCGTAAAAGTTTTCGGCTTAGGTAAGCTACGGGATGTTCGCCACCATCTGCTCCAACTTGGCTCAGTACTGCTCCCAATCCAAACATAGAAGCATCTGTGTGGACGAGAAAACGTTTAGTTGGATCAGGAGCAGAAAGTACAGGTGAGTTAACAAGTGCCGTCTTGAGCTGTCGAAATGCCTGTTCACACTCTGGGGCCCAGACTACTAGCTTAGGGAGATTCTTACGGGTTAAATCAGTGAGGGGTTTGGCGAGGGTACTGTAGTTGGCCACAAATTTCCGGTAGTACCCGGCTGTCCCTAAGAAGGCGAGTACTTGGGTCTTGGTGCGACTGACTCTATTTTAGCAGGCTCTGGTTTCTGCTGTCCGCTTCCTACCCTGTGCCCTAGGTACTGAACTTCTGTCATCCCTATATGGCATTTGCTGGGTTTTAGGGTCAGTCCAGCTTCCCGGATCCGGTCTAGTACGGCTCCTATGTGGGTCAAATGTTCGTGCCAGGAGCAGCTGAATATGGCAATATCATCCAGATACGCGCATCCAGATAGGCGCATGCATACTCCTGGAACCCATCCAATAATCTGTCTACCATCCTCTGGAAGGTAGCTGGGGCATTTTTCATCCCGAATGGCATAACCTTAAACTGGTACAGGCCAGACGGGGCGTCTTCTGCTAAAGGGAAAAAGTGACTTGGGAATAGCGTCTTCTGCTCACGGAATTTGCCAGTACCCCTTGCACAGATCTATCGTGGTGAGGTACTGGCCATTTTGTCTAGGAGCTCGTCTATCCGGGGCATGGGATAAGCGTCTCAGGACGTTTTGTCATTGAGCCGCCGGTAGTCTACACAGAAATGGGTCGTCCCGTCCCGTTTCAGCACTAATACTACCAGGGAGGCCCAGGGGCTGTCGGAGTGCTCTATCACTCCTAACTGAAGCATTTACTCAATTTCCTTGCGCATATTTTCTTTGACTGCTTCGGGTATGCGGTATGGAGTTTGGTGAAGAGAGGTCTGATCTAAGGTTTCTACCTTGTGCGTAGCTAATGGGGTATAGCCGGGTAAATTGGAAAACGTGGCTCCCTTTTCCTGGAGCAACCTTTGCACTTGGGTTCACTCTTGGGGATTTAATCGCTCTCCTAACTGTACTTCTCCCAAATCTCCGCTCTGGCCCTCTTGGTCTAGGAAATCTGGGAGGGGTAGATTATCAAAATCCTCGGTGGCAGGGGCACAGATTGCGGTCACCTCCACAGTGCGCTCGTGGTATGGCTTGAGCATGTTCACATGTAGCATGCGTTTGCCTCCCGCGCCTGTGACCGGGCCGATCACATAGGTGGTGTCACAGATCTGTTCCACCACCTTGTATGGGCCCTGCCAGGAAGCCTGCAGCTTATCTTTGTGGACTGGTCGCAAGATTAGCACTTTTTGCCCTACCTGAAAGCTGCGGTCCCTGGCTCCCCTATCATACCATCTGCGCTGTCGTTGCTGGGCTACCTGGAGATTGTCTCGGACGGTCTGGGTCAGCATATCCAGACGTTCTCTGAACTCAAGCACATAGGGTATGATGGGGGTACCACTAATGGTCTCTTCTACCTCCCAGTGTTCCCGTATCAAGTCAAGGGGTCCCCTCACTCTCCTTCCGAATAACAATTTGAAAGGAGAGAATCCAGTGGATTCTTGGGGCACCTCCCAATACGCAAACAGTAAGTGGGGTAAAAACCTTTCCCAGTCCTTCTGGGTGTCCATGAACGTACGGATCATTTGTTTAAGTGTCCATTGGACTGGGGGTGATATGCAGAGTTCAGGATTTGCTGTATACCACATATCTTCCAGAGCTGATGTGTTACTTCAGCGGTAAACTGAGTGCCCCTATCCGAAATAATCTCCCGGGGAAATCATACCCGGGCGAATATTCGCATCAGGGCCTCAACTACTGTTTCAGCATGGACACTGGTTAACGCCACTGCCTCTGGGTATCTGGTGGCATAATCCACCACCGTCAAGACATATTTCTTGCCGGACGTGCTGGGCTTTGCTAAAGGCCCTATGATGTCTACTGCCACCCTACTGAAGGGTTCCTCAATTATGGGCAGAAACCGGAGCCGTGCTTTGTATCGGTCTCCTCTCTTCCCTACCCTTTGGCAGGTATCACAGGTCTGGCAATATCGCCTAATATCCTGTGAAATACCCGGCCAAAAGAAGTTTTGGGTCAGCCTGTGCTTAGTACGGCTGATTCCTAAGTGCCCAGACAGGGGAATATCATGAGCGATACGTAATAACTCTAATCTATATTTCCGAGGCACTATTAGTTGCTTAATGAGTAAAGGTATAGATCCAGACACTACCTTTCCTGTGTGTTGGTACAGTAGTCCTTTGTCCCCTTCTAATCCTGCCTGATCTTTATCGATATGGTCTTTGTATAACTGTAGGGAGGAGTCTAGGGCCACTTCCGACCCAAACTCTAGGGGGTTGACCCATGGCATGACAGTGGGCATGGGGGGGGGGGTCATTGCTTACCTGAGCCTCAGAGTGGTTGGATGGTGCTGTGGTGCGAGCCTGTTGC